CTACAATATCTAATAGGACATAAAACAGAATATCATATTTGGAAAAGCATTGTAACATGCCTTCCCTAATTCTGTGAGCTATCTAATCCTGTGAAATAGATTCAAATCTGATAAAGTCTTAACATAGGCATTGAGTTAAAATTTTATTAACAGGTGGCACCAGTGTCTTTCAGATGGGAGTCATGTAGACAAAGAAAAGCTAAGGAAGAACCCTGTTAGTCTTTTGAGGATAGTGTTTGTTATAAATGACTAGGTGTGATTACAATTCATGAAGCCATCGAACTTCGTAATACCTGTTCCTTGAACTATGAAGTTCGAAGGAGCTTTGAAAGGTCATTCAGCTTTCTCATCAGTTTTGACCGAAAAATAACTGCAGACTATTGTAAAGTCATGATGTTTTTTAGGGACTTTTTGAAAGGAGATTTTACAATCTCCCGTAGAAATATAGCATAGGTTTTTTAACAACCCTCATTGTAGAAAAGGTCATTTTAATATCTAGCCAGAGTCCCAATTGCTATAATAAAAGGCCACATCCTCCTTTTCAATTCTTTAGAGATGGTCAAGAGTTGGTTACTAGCATCACCATAAATGAAACACCTCATCCAGCACCTACTAGGGGTCTGTTCTCTTCTTCCTGCATTAAATATACGAAGGCACTAGACAGCTCTCTCCTCTCCAGGCTAAAGGAACCCATAAACACTTTCTCTCCAGGGTCCTGCTTTTCAAATCTGTACAGCCTTTCTCTGCAGTTTGTCCACACTCTTTCCAGCTGTGCACATATTCCTCAGTTTGACTCATTTGGAACACATGAGATTTTTTAGTTCTTTTCTTTTTTCCTTAACCCATAGATTGTATACAATTTTTTTCTACCACATATTGGGTTCTACCAAACTTTCCCTGAAGATTTTATGACTCTTGGATAAAATAAAATAGGGATGAATGAATAGAAAAGACATTAATAACATTGATATGTAAAACTTTGCTTATGAAACCAAAAATCAGAGAAAAGTATAAATCCTGTGTCCAGAAAGCAAGCAGAACTTCCTGATCAGTTACAGGGTTCAATGCTTTTGTTCAAAATCACTCCAAGCAAACAAACCAGTAACACGTGTATGTATGTTATGTATGTATAAATGTAAGTGAAAAGAATGTCCTTGCAATAGGGCTTTTAAAATCAACCTCACAATGCAATTGCTTTAATACCTTAGTTTGAGGCCAGGCAAGCAATCAGTAAATAGTTACACCAATGATTTGTACATTTCTGGGGGAAATTAGAGTGACATTACTATTTTGGAAGCATTTAGAGCAGTTGCAGAGATTGCATTGGCATTCAGATAATTAACAGTAAAAAGAATGATCCAAAAATGACTTCCAGGAACAAAAAGTGATGTGAGAGTTTTAAGACTATAGGGTGGCTAGAATGGCCAAGACAGTCACTTGATTGGAGGAGGACCTTGAGCTGGCTCCTCTCCGATGTGTAGATAGAGATAGACAAGACCTAGAGACTAGTGTAAGGAGTGGATGCCAGTGACTTGCAAAAGGTACTGGGACTTCCTCTGGAAATTAATGACAAGTGAATTTGGGGAGTACAGCAATGCATCAAAGGAGACTATGACAGGCATACATGGAGAGAGCTGTAAAAGCCTAGAACTACCGCGACTGTGTCGCCCCACGGGTGCTGCCATTCCCCTTGTAAGGTGTGGTAGTGGCTTCTAATGTTCTTCTGACAAGACTTGAGTTGTCTTTATGTACTTGAACACACACTCACCCCTGTTGTGAGGATTCTGGGGTACCCCCATGTCAAGTGCTCACAAACACACATCTCCTCAGCTCTATCGACCCCTGAAACCAAAGAAGAAACTATGGAACTAAACGTTTTCTGAGATTGGCTCTAAAAACATCTAAGAAAGAGACTCCATTACAACATTTTTAACACAGAAATCTTTACAGGGAAAACCACCTTACTTTTCTAAAATGGAAGTTTAGAAATGAGGTACGAGAAAAAAGAATGAGATGATAAATTAAAAGGTAGAGAAAAGAGCAAAAATTAAGAGAAAGAAGCATAGTGACCCAACTTTAGTAAAATTTGAGGTGTGAGTAAAGGTGTCTCATTGAATCTCTTGAGATATATACAGGTAGCTCTGAATACGTATGTCTACCTCTGTAGCTACACCTGAAAATGTCAGGATCTTACTGCCTTGTCTATTGCTTTTTAGAAAAACAAAAACAACCAAGAATATGAACTAAGTATTAATTCATCCATATGTCCTCATTCCCAAATTCTCAACAAATCTTTGTTGAATTAATGAAATCATTAGATCCTGAATTTTCAAAATCTAGGAAAAAACTGTTGTAAAAATATATACCATGGTTGCCTTTCTGTAGGGGACCACTGATTTGTGTCTTTTAGATCAGACCATCTGATCAGCGTGATCCTTGTAAGGATGTTGTACTGCCTTACAATGGAGATCTCTCTATCCTATCCCCAAAGTCCCTATACCCATTAAAAAAATCTACAAGCCAGTACTTCATTCTCTTGACTTAATAGAAATCCTGAAAATCTTCCTGGGTAAAGGAAACACAGTGAGCCATAGTAAAAATTTAAACTTCAGTCTGAAGGCATATATAGAGGGCTTTCCCAAAAATAGCATTTGTATTTGGCAGGAGAATGAACATTCTGGCTGTGAGTGTGTAAATGGAAAGGGCTAGATGGGAATCCACTCCTTTTCCCTGCTACTCAGTTTTGCCTCAGCATGTTCATGTTCACTGATGTCCATTTTCAGAAATATTTTTGTTCTGGACCTCCCTTTGTTAGTGCTTGGGAAGTCTGAAAGGTGTCTCTGTCTCTACTTTGCCAATTCAGCAACAGAGCAGCTGCATTCAGTACTCTGCCAGGCTGTTTCTCTGTATGTGCTCAGTTGCTGAGCAGGTGTGTTCTCCCCAGATACACCTTTGAGGATGATAGTATCATTAGTCAGCAGTGCCCAAGGAACTAGAGACAAGGGGGAAAGGCTAATTGGTTTCAATCCAAAGTTCTGTATTGCTCCTGGTAGCCTGGCTTGCTGCATCTGTGTCCTCTCTCCACTTGGTGTATAATTATTTCCTCCAAGGAACTTAACTGAGGGAGGGTGAGAGCATAAAGGGGATGATAGGTTGACACTGAGACTTTGGGTTGGTATCGTGTCAGTCAGAACACTCATGGCTCTGGGTGGTCAGAGAAGACCACCATAGATGGTCCCTCCTGCTCCCATCTGGACCATCATGAAGGTGGAAATGAAGCCTAAGTCTCAACACCTTGTAGACTGTTGTGCTTATTAAAAGTGTCTGATAATCCTCTGACCTTTTAGAAACTTAGACGGTTGTGTTCTCCCTTGAGAATTATTTTTATGTGTTTACTGCCCAATTACTGAACTGGTTCTGCTTGATTTCCTCATTCACTCTTTAATTTGGTAACACTTTATTTTACAGCCCACTAACTTCATTGAAAATAAATTCACTTTACTTGTATGATTAGCATTACTCACTTGATAACATAAGTACCATATCAGGATATGGGAAATGCCTAGTAAGTGCCATACAATTACAAGGTATATATACAATGCATTTATTTTACCTTCTAAACCCAACACAGGGTGACAGAGTACAGATCTCCCTAGGCTTTGATGGGGTTACTTCCCAATCAGCCCATCACAGGTTGAAAACTATCCTAAATTGAAAATGTCCTTAATACACTAATCCTACCAGATATCATCTTAGCCTAACCCACCTTAGACATGCTCAGAACAGTTACTTTAACCTACAGCTGGGCAAGCTCATCTAACAAGCCCTTTTCATAGTAAAGTCTTAAATAAGGAATTTATCAAATAGTGTGATTGAAATAAAAAAGTCCAAATGCTAAATTCTACTATCACTTATGGAACATGGTAAACTTGAAACGCCACAAGTAGGGGGCCATCTAATTACTTTTGGATCTTTTAAGTGTGTTTACCACATAATCTGTAAGGGGATTAATTAGCTGAGTCAAGACTTGCCACCTTTCTTTTCCAAAAACTTCCAAAGATTATATTGCCTTTAAGATTATGTAGTTTGGGATAAATCTCATGCTGAATTGTAGTGTCCACTGTAAGTCTCTTCAGGAATGAACCATATCTAATGTATATCTAGCAAATGAGTTGGAAAGCACCTGCAACATATCTTGGGGGAATGGGAGATACCCACATTCTAAATTCAAACTAACGCTCTTATTTTTGCTTTGCCCATGCATTCAATAGGATGGAGTAGGAGAGGTATGGGAGAAACAGCATGTGACCTCTTAGAGACCAGCCCTCTTCCACCAAAACATATAAAGACAAAAAATGCATTAGAGTCTAGTATTGAATTGATGCTGGAATACATTTTTCATATAAGAGTGAGCACCTAGGACCAAGACCTCTATATCTCACAACAAAATTCCTCATAATGATTGTCTATATCCTAAACTGTTATTGTCAGTGCCCTCTTAAACTGAATCATGTATGACCCAAAAAGTCCATATTTGTGAGTTCTGGTCTTCTCTCTCTCTTGACCATAGACCATGTGTTACCTTCTCTAGACCGCTCTCTGTGAATGCATGTGCACCAGGTCATAGATATGCAGAGCAGTTCACCCATAGTTATCATTGTATGTGGATCTCATGTCATCCCTAAAAAATAAACTTTGCAGGTAAAATGACTTTCTAAAAGAAGTAAATTAAGGGGTTGTCTATTTCTTTATAACAAGTATATTCTTTATAAGGTAAACTGCCTTAATGTAGTTAAATATTTAATTAGCATCCCGTTGATTTATCAAGGTATTTTAGAAACCTGATTATTATGTGAAAGGGAATACAACTTGTGTCTAGCTATGGGTCATATCCTCTGCGCAGTAGCTCCAAAAATCCAATAGCATTTCATTTTCTCTCAGGGTGGTTCTTTGCCTCCATCCCCATGTTGGCCATTTACGATTTCTCTTGTGTCTTTCAGGCATTGAGAATGCCAGCGACATTGCTCTGTACTCGGGCTTGGGTGCTGCTGTCGTGGCCGTGGCGGTACTGGTCATTGGCGTCACCCTGTATAGACGGAGCCAGAGCGACTATGGCGTGGACGTGATTGACTCTTCTGCATTGACAGGTGGCTTCCAGACCTTCAACTTCAAAACAGTCCGTCAAGGTCAGCGGCGTAGGTTCCCCCAACACCTCGTCCTCAGGCCATAGCCTACTCTCACACAGGACCCCAGTTCTCATTGGTCTTGTGTGAAGGTAGCTCTTGGCTCTGGGAGCCGCTGCCAAATTGTATTCAACATCAGGAAAGCAGCATCAGTGGAGTGGTCTGCTTAAATCCTTGACTTTGAGGACAAATGGATCTCAACTTATCACCTTATCATTTTAAGAAAAGCATTTTCATTTTTGATGTGTAGTGAGCTTAACAAGGATTTTATCTCAGATTATCCAGCTTTCTCCTTCAACAAGCCTGCTTTGTTGATGTATTTCATTTAGTTCTCTAAAATACTGATTATTCAAGGCTGAGAACCAACTACTATACCACAACCTCCCAGGCATATTTACTACACTATTTATTAGGTAGAGTTATTTTTGTTACTTCTATTTTAAATAAGTAAAAGGACTTCAGAGGATATATGATGAGTCAGATAGTCAAGGGAAAAATGAAATTCCCAGCCTAAATGACTCTCAGCTGTTGCCAAGTCAAAGCAATCTTTTGTAGTGGGGGAAAGAAAATCTATCATGTCAAACTATAGCAATACTCATTTTCAAAACAGTCATTTAATTCTCTTATATGAACCAAGTCTATTCCCGATTGTGAGATAGTGATGAGGCATACAAGGCTCTTTTAGAAAAAAATGAAACTGTCTCTCTAAGGAGGATAAAGTTTTCTACCTTGACCCTCATCATCAATACCATCACCTTTATTTCTGTTTGTTGCATGTAAGTTGCACCTGTAACACCAGATAAGAAGTCATCCCACTGCTTGGCAGAGACAGGTCCTGGAAACTCAAACACACTAGAAACTGGGAGATGCCTGCGTGATAAAATATTTTGTTGTTTGTCACTCACTTTTGGGCATCAAAGTGGCAGGTCTGAGTCTGCTCAGTCTCAGGGACACTTCTCAATTTGGGTATATAGATTAGTATACAGGATTTCATTAGAAATAAACTCAATGAAGTAGCATGAGAGGTGCATGCATAAATCCACAGACAGATCCATTTCAGTCCAAAATTAGTCCATTCTTCTCAGTCTTAAATTTTTAGCTATATAATGAGGTTACTGTCATCCACCTCAAAGAATTCTTGTGAGGATGATATTACCTAGAATAGCATAGTTATCAGCCCTTGCCATAGGATGCTGCTCAGTGCAGTGAATATTATTCTAGAAGCTGGTTGTTTCCTCCTCCTTGGCATAGGTACAATGTGTTCCATAGAGCAGCAGGTAAGAGGGTGAGTCCCTCGCCCAAACATTTGTGGAATGCTGACTTGCAAAAATTAAAGGCATCTTTTGCTTATGGGATTTTTAGAGCTTACTTGTATTATGAAACTCAAAGAGAAGACTGTGTAGTCTTTTCAAATTTATTTTCCTGTTTAATTTTTGAATGTGTTAACCAAGGACATAAGCAAAAATCTTTATTAAGATGCTCCTCTATTGGGCCTCCCTGGTGGCGTAGCTGTTGAGCGCTGGGTTGCGAGACTTCCTGCAGCCTCTGCAGCGCCAGTTCAATCCCCGGCTGCTCCCCGGCCACCGGAGGAGGGTCCCGCATGGCGCGCAGACCTCTCCTGCCGCCTGCTGCTCCCCTCAGCAGTGTACTTCGGTCCTTCTGCCTGCTCCCCGCTCTGGTGAATTCTCTCACCCTCCTGCGCTTCTGACTGTACCCAGTGCTTGTATAAATAAATAAATTAATTAAAAAAAAAAAAACGAATAAGAGGAAAAAATAGCTAAATTTAAAAAAAAAAAATGTTCCTCTATTATGACACCTCATATTGAAGGAGATCTGGTGTTTCACCTCCACTATCTTAGAGACATCTATCCCTTCTTCAGCAAATATAGTCAGTGTCCCAGGAAGGTTTTACAGTGATACTTGTAAGTAGAATGCCATCCTTAGTGTAGATCAGGGACTTAAAAGGATTTCTAAGGAGAAACCTGGGAAAACAGGTAATTGACCCTAATCAGACTTGAATCAAGTCGGCACCAACTTTCTGCAATTTTGACTCTATCACACGTTCCTACTTTTATGCTTTCTTGGACTCACAAAAGCTAGGAACATCTTTCGAGTGTAGTCAAAAATTAAATGTGAGAAGGTGAAGGCTTGAGACAAAATAACCATGAAACCAGATTTAAGATTTTTCAGATCTCAGTATAAATTGTTCAAACTCTTTTTAGACATCAGCTAGTTCTTGAGTCCCACTTTTTACTTGAGAAGGCCATGGCCAAGAGCAAATTCGGTACCTGTAAAACTCAGTGCAGTTCCATTAAAAGCACAACCCCCTGATTGCGCTCATGCCTTGGCACAAGAGCCTCACACATGGAAAAATGCTATCATCAAGGAGTCTCTCTGGCCACAAGGTTATTTCATCTCATCCTGAACTCTATGCTTTTGGATTCTTAGAATGTTAGAATGAGAGGTGGAAAAGTCAGGGTTATAGGTTCCCTGCCCGTTTTGCTACAAAATTATGAAAATAGAAAAATACAGGCTAATAGGACCTAGAATTGCAAGACTTTCAGACATATCATACTTTAAACATTTTTGTCAAGCTCCAAAGGAAAATTGTTTTATATGGTTTGAGTTTCAATTTGAGATGTCACATTGATGGACTGATAGGGGTGGGAGTTTTGGGATTCAGGGTTATTTTGTTATTTACTAATAAATGAGATTACTTCATCACAAGAAAATATCACAGCATTTCTTTTTAATATTTGGCTTGGAAAAAATTGGTAAGCGCCAACAGATGAGAAAGTCCTATTTCTCATGGCTTTGTAAATATTTTTTTAAAATTCATTTTAAGATGAAAAGGAAGCCGTTCTCCGTGGCTTCCTACATAGAATCTGAGTCTCTCATCGTCTCTTGTGGGGCCTCCTCCCCTCGCAGAGTGACATATGCGTTATTAGCGCAAATTGGCTGCTCAGACAGGGAGCGAGTCATAAAGCCCCTGACCCTTTTGCTCTGAGGACAAATTATTTCCTCCCCCGGCTCCAAAACCTGCCCAGAATTCCACGTGATGTGCTGGCACCGACACAGCTCCCGTTATAAACGGCACTACCTAGTCACCACGCTGTGTCATCTCTTGCCATTTAGAATGAACAGATGTTATTTTTGCTCCAAAATGGATTGGAAAACATCTTTCTTTTTTTTTTTTTTAAAGCTTCCCTTTGCCAGTTAAAGTCATCACATAAACATAATACCTGAGTTAGTTGCCTGACAGAGTGCCAGAAATACTTGTTTTGAAAAGGTAGCGTGCAAGGAACTCTGGGAAGCAAATGATTTGAGTCAACCACTTTCAGAGAAATGACAATAAAAGGCAGAGCTCCCCGTTCCAAGGCTCTAGTCACTGGTGACCAGCCCGTTGGGGCTGTCCCAGAAGCTCTGGTGGCCTGCGCGGGTTGTTCTGTCATGAGCAGCTGGCAAGTACACAGGAGGGGCTGCACAGAGTAGAGGCAGATGAAGAGATAGTAACTGTGATGACTTAGTTTCTGAATGACAGATCAGTATTCTTTTACCAGGTAACTCCCTGCTCTTGAATCCCTCCATGCAACCAGACCTGACAGTGAGCCGAACATACAGCGGGCCCATCTGCCTCCAGGATCCCCTGGACAAAGAACTCATGACAGAATCCTCGCTTTTTAACCCTTTGTCGGACATCAAAGTCAAAGTCCAGAGCTCCTTCATGGTTTCCCTCGGAGTGTCTGAAAGAGCTGAGTTCCATGGCAAGAATCATTCCGGGACTTTCCCCCATGGAAACAACCGCAGCTTTAGTACAATGCACCCCAGAAATAAAACACCCTACATCCAAAACCTCTCATCACTCCCCACAAGGACAGAACTGAGAACGACAGGTGTCTTTGGCCATTTAGGAGGACGTTTAGTAATGCCAAATACAGGTGGGTGGTGTGTGTTGGTGTATTTTCCAGCCTTTGTTCAAACCTTTTGTATTTATACAATTGCATCTGCCAGTCATTCATAAGATGTTTACCATCCCCTGTCAGAGCAAAATACCAGACCCATCAGCCCTTGATTTACAAAACAAAGTAAACCAGGACCAATACTGGTTAGATTTTGCAGTCTTCATCTCAGTATGGACTGAATACTGACTGCATTTAATGCTGGGTTAGAGTTGACAGCCATGTTTGTTCAGAAGGCTTGGGTAGTCCCCAGAGTCAAGCCCCTTTGAGATATATTTTCTAAAATATGATCAGAAAGCCCTGTAAGTGTTCTTTACCAGAAAATACCATGTTTATAGCCAAGTATGGTTTATGTGCTGGTATGTAATTTAGTAAAATGATACCCAATCAGATTTCCTCAGTTACTGCAATAATAAATACTGTCAGTGTCCTTAGACCTTGCTATAATGTTACTTTATGATGAGCAGTGGAAAGGTTTACTATGACATTACTCTGGAATTCAAACTTCAGTTCCGGAGCTATAACATAAATCCAATTAGTTCCGCAGTATGTCCCCCATTGGTTGGAAGGGAGCTTTACTTGATGTTTTGACAAGGATACATAAGGATGTACAGCCCAGATACCTTTTAAGATGACATTCTATCTGTGGATTAGTCTTCACAATTGCCATCTGAGACTGAACTGGATGACAGAGAGGGCAATCTCTCCTTTGATCTCTAGGCAAGGAAAACTAGGGGGTGTTCTATATCATGGCTGAGAGGGCAAAGAACAAGTGTCATTAAACAGCAGGTTAGCACCAAGTTAGGACCATCATGGAGGGCCTTGGCAGAATTTTCTCTAGGGTAGATCTTACAAACCTCTCCAAATTGAACATTTTATCTTGTAAAATGAAATCTGTAACAGGACTAGTCTGATGCTACCATCCCAGCTAACTGAAATGCTAGTAGCTTAGTGATTTGAGACTGCAATTTATTTCCAGTTAATGAATGCTGTCTCATTCTTCTACATCAGTCACTTCCTTAAAAACTTTTTTCACACAAATGATCCTCAGAGGCAGCCCTAATAATGATTTTGTTTTCTACATTTCCAATTCTCTAAATCATCCTTGGTCATTGTTTTAAGACTTGGTAAAGATCTTCATTTAAATATGTATGAATGTCAATGTGTGATGTAATCCTCCCTGGCAGATAGGAGACTTTACTGTTGAACAAGGGAGTCATTACAAAGTACCCTTCTTGTAAGAACCTAAATACTGGGAACTGTGGGTTCCAGAAAAAAGAAATAGTACAAGACACTGAGTCTTGCTGCCATTTCAGCGAGACTAAGCTATACACACCTGAATCATAAAAGCTCATTGCACATTGATATTTTATGCATGGGCTAGATGCATAACCCTCCACTCTCTTATTTTGGCACTAAGGAGGCTCTCTGGATAGTTATTGGTTGAATAACTTCTCATCCTCATTTGTTAAGAGTGTGTATATGTGTTTGTTTATGCATATGTGGAGGAAATGCCAAGATCATCCTATTCTTTGGGTATATTTGTTTAACATTCATCCAGGAGTGTGAGATGAAAGATTTTTCTTTTTCTTCCCTTCTGAGTTGAGAAGCACTTGTGGTGAAAACTCAAAGTTCTGATGACAATGATTCCCAAACAGTTACTTTGTGAAGGGGCATGCTCTAAGCTAACATGAAGCCCCAAACAGGATTGGAGTTGTTCACCGGGAATGAGTTTAATGAAAAATAAGTGTGGGGAATTGAAACATATGTTCTGTTATTTGCAGAACATAAATGTAAAATATGCCCTAAGGAGATAAAATGTAAAGAAGCAAGGCACAGAAATTAGATTGTTCAAATGACATCCATCCCAAATAATTGAATGGTACCTGACAATAAAGATTTGGGTGACCCACACTATAAAAATCATTTATTATGTAAAATATGAAACAAGAAACTCAGGTGGTGCTGTTGTCATATCAAAAGGCTGTAGGGGCAGTAGGTAGAGTTTAGGGGAGAATACATATCTAAAATGAGTTTCTTTAGAGGACCATGAACAGAAAGATGCTCCACAGTGCCTTTCAGTCTTCATAAAATATACCACCACCAATACTACCACACCCTATTCCCCTCCCCCCACACACAAATACACCCCTTGCCTCTATGTTTGCCTACTTTCAGACTTCACACACAATTTGCATACTTGGGCTGGGGAAGAGTAATCTTACAATGTCTTATAGGAAAATGAAATAATTTAAAATGATGAGGATTCTTTAGATTCAGATCAAATTTAGGAGTATTATGAATAACTTTTTTAATCTAAATGCAGGGAATTAAATGGACTTGAAAGGGATGAATGTGACCTGTTCTACAGACAGCATTTCTCAGAAGTCACTCATACTTATTCTGATTCGGGCTGAGAGTTGATAGCTGGTCCTGATCTACAGAATACAGCCTGTCTCAAAGCCTAGTTTTGATTTTATTAAAGAGTTTTGAATCATATTCATATATTCATATTTCGGTTTTTGGAGTGCTAGGCCTTGTTCAAGGTGTTATCCATGTAACACAGCATTACTGCCTCTTTATTGTTGCTAGGCAGTTTATGACTTCCTCTATTTGAAGGTTTAGAAGAGGCAAACTAATAATCTAATGTGAGAAAGAAAATAGCTGATTTGGGGGGTTGGCAGTTGAGGGATTGCCTTCTACAGGGCACAAGGAAACTTTTTGATGGTAGAAATGTTCTACAACTGAAGGCCATAGTTTTCATGTGAAAAGTCTACATTTGCCAAAAACTCAGTCTGTACACTTGAAGTGGGTACATTCCATTGCATGTGACTTTTACATCAATAAAGGAAAACACAGGAAAAGAAAAACGGGAGTACAATAAAGTGATTGCTATGGGTTAATGGCCTAAGATGACCCAGTGGCAGCTTCCTGCACTTCTGTGTTGAAGGAAGGACTGAATGTCTCTGTTGTCCTAGAGTGTCTTACAGAGAGGTAACAGAGAAAGTTCTCTATCACACTATGGATACGTATCCCCCAGGTTGACATCCTGTGTATTATGACATCTGCTCAACAGCAGGGGAGGATATAATGAAGGCCACTTCATTTAGCAACTACCTTTAAGGAAGAATAGGAAATGATAGGCATAGCCTGGTCAGATGCCCTTAAGTATGGCAATTGCAGTTCCTCTACTATTGATGTTAAGGTCCAGAATATAAATGGATACCATTGCTGAAAAGCTCTAAGCAAGATTTGCATGTGCCTCATTCTTAGTACTAGTGAAAGGTACTCATGCTAACTAGCATATTACTATATATAATATAGTATGTATATATATTATACATGTGCTTCTATTATATGTACTATAGTACATATATACTACATACATGTACTTCTGTATATAGTACACATATATATAATGAACATATATAATGCTCATAAGTGTGAATCACAAATAACTTGTTTTGCAATGTGTCTTGCATTCCTTGATTCCATAGCAAGCTAACAGGTACACAGAAGGATATCAGTAAAGCCATCTCTAGATTTAAATTATCAGAAACCTGAAAGGTTTCTGTGTGGCTACATTAGCGCTAATGAAAAGTTGAAAGTTGTACTATTCAAAGAAAAAGAGGATGCCCTGAGATTTTATTTTGGAAGGATCTTACTGTGTCTCCATTTCATTTCTATTTATAAATAAGAAGCTACATTAAAGAGAATCTCTGCCCTTTCTAGACTCTTTTCTCTTGGTCAGAGTGAAATATTTACTTCACAGCATTCAAGATGAGAGTGTGGACGTTTCAAATGAATGCATTGCGATGTGCTTTGCTATGCTTTCTCTCCCTGCATAATACGATTTTATTGAAGTAAGGCTACTGGGTTTTCTTTTTCAATTTGACATTGGCATAAATATGATAAAATCACCTTTAACCTTTTCTAGCTTCTGTTTACAAAGAGAGGGCTAAATAGAAGGAATGTAAGAATGATCTGTAAGCTTCCTAAGATTCTCAGTGTTGTTATTCTTTCTTGACAAAATAGATCATTCTATTAACTGCCTCCCAGATTTACTTCCAGATGCACAATTTGTAAGATAATTTGGTATGAAGCTCTAGCATCATCCCAGATACCCTTTCAGGAAACCTATGGGAAGAGACACAATAGAGAAATACTTAAAATTTTGAAGTAGGTTAGCTGATACATCATTACACTCTTTATGTTCTCAGATATATTTAATATTGCCAGGTCTCAGGACACACAATCTTGTAAGATAATTAAACAAATGCTAGGAAAATATTACAGGAAAAAAAACTAGTTTGAGTGCAGTTGAGAAATATATCCTTTTTTTGTTGTTGTTAAGAAGTGATGTTTTCTCTGTTATTATCTTGGATTTTATAAACCTTCCAAAGATCATGATTTCATAAATTGCTATGAGGACCTTTTTTATGAGCATCTGTGCGGAACTCAAGTGTTTCAAGGTAATTGGGAAATCTTTGAATAAACTTTTTTTTTTTTTTTTTCTGATTTAGGAGTGAGTTTGCTCATACCACATGGCGCCATCCCGGAGGAGAACTCTTGGGAGATTTATATGTCCATCAACCAAGGTGAACCCAGGTGAGAGACAGAAGGATAGCATATAAACATGACACCTAAATATGGAATGCAGCTCCTCCAGGAAGTCTGAAGTTATTAAAATTATATGACATGGAGATTGTGTAAGGCGAGAGTGAGCTACTTGACTATAGAGAAGGAAAACTCTCTTGCAAAAGTATTGGCTTGAATGAAAAACACAGCTCTGCCTTATTAGATATAACTAACCTAAGTTACCTCACCGACCAATAAATACAAAATAGTGATTCCCAGGCAAGTCATAAGCACATACTCCATAAATGTTCACTAAATCACAGTCTTGCAACAGAGTGCCTGGAGGCACTCTTAGATCCTAGGCATTATTCAAATGCAGAGAATGCTTGACCTGTGACTTTGTAAGGGCAATAGAAGACCAGACATAAGCTGAGAGACCTTTTCTTGGGCAGCTTTCCTCAATGTAAAAACAGTCTACACTTAATAGCTTTCAGATCTGACAGGCTTTAGCAGCATTCAATCTAATTACATGAACAAATATACAAATCTTGTTACATACTCTTAATGAAAGCAGTTGGTTATTTTCTTAGCACAACTATACTATTTGCGGAAATGTGGCCTTCCTCCACACAAGATAAACCTAACTCTGCTTTCAAAAGCAATTTCTCTCATAAACTGGATATATACCTCTGGCATTTTCAGTCACAACATCTTGGTTATTTTAGAATAGATTTTTTTTTTTTTTTGTTAGCAAAGAACACATGAAGGAAAGACACTGAAAGGAAAAACAGCCAGAAAACAGATGGTTCGAAAAGATGTTGATAGTCATTTCCATAAAAGGATTTGTCGGTGCCCAATGGTTTTAATTTTCTGTTCTTGGGGCTTGAAAGGAATGTAAGGAAAGTTGCTAGTTGGCTGCTGGTGAGTCTCTTAGTGGATCTGCATGTGGGCTGCGCTGTTTCATGTTATTTCCTTAGTATTATTGAGCTACCTCTTTACCTATGCACCTGGAAGATAGGGCAAACTGAGGCTCAGAGATTTTTGAAAGGTTTACTCAAAAATCTTAGTTAAGCAGACCTAAAAATGGCATTTGCAGGATGAGAGTTACCATTTTTTTTTAATCCCTCTGATTTATAGAAACAGAACTGCTTAATATTGAGGTTATGGTCAATTATACATTTGCTTATAAACACATGATCTTGCAAACATCTAGAAGGAGGCAGAATCCAGTCAGCCATATCTAAATCTGACGTCCTGGATACCACCACCTCTGCATGCTCCCCCCGTCATCACTCTAATTGATCCACTGTATCTATGTCTAGACATAGTATCTGTCCCCTTCTCATTATGTGAGAGTCCACCAGAGCTGTTCACATTTCAGAGGCATCTAATTTACAACTAACCTCAGCCCCAATCTCTTACAGAAGCTGCTTAGAAAGGTCGGAACTAGAAAGTGCCAAAGGACATCAGGTATATAAAGACTTCGATGACTGAGGCAGATTGCAGTAGTCAAATAAGAGAAAGTCATAAAAACTCACCAGAATCCACATATCTTAAAAGACAAATTTGACTTCATGCAGCCATCCCCTGGACCACTTCTAGCTTTTCATGTTCCCTGTTAACCAACTGCTTCAACCACCTAAATCTCAGGTGCAAGATTATTATGGTTCCCGAGGAAAGTAGGGAGAAACAGAAACAGTTCAATCAAGACTTCAGATATCTGAGCACTGTACTTCCTTGTCTAGTAAATGGAGGAGAAAATAAAATTGTTGAAGGCACACACACCTTTTTAGGTTGTTCTAACCTTTCACATGTCCCTGTCTCTCAAGGAATTGACTGCTACTGGGCTCTGGCCCATTTAGCTTCCTCAGAAGTCCTCACTCGCCTTTGAGCAGCACCAAACTACTGCCAAAACATTAAAATAGAAAAGGTCTTACTGCTTTTTTAAGTTCAGGTGAATTTCTTTCCATCTCTTCTTGGATCCAAGTTCTTCAACTTTGAATCCAGTCATTAATCTGGAGTTCATTTATGTAGCTATTTAGAGGCATCCTGTGTTTGAAACATCAGCTGAAAGCCCATTTTCATCTTGTGCTGTCATTCTGAACTTGTGCTCAGAATAAGGTCAATCTTCCTCAAATTCAAAGAGCTGGAGCAACACTGCTGCCCTTCATTTTTGCCTCCACACACAGAGAAGTACAGTGGGATCCTCCAAACATCATCTTTCATTTTCCCCATCAGTAATGCACTTTGGTTACTCCTTTCTGGGTTCCACCCTGGTGTAGCTGGATAATGATTTAGTGGAACTGTAATTGATATCACTGATCCACATTCTGTACCCAGTTCCCAGGGACATGGCTATATGGAATGAACCACAGATTTCAAATAACTCACTGTGTTCAAATAGTGTCAGGTTGTTATATTTTGATGCCATTTTAAGTGAGGTTGCTCATTGTCTGAAGGTACTCCATCTCCTTTGTGAGATCTATGTGCATTCCTAGAAGTTTCTAGGAGGACATTCTATACTTAATGCAAAGTGACATGTCGTCACTCAATATCCCTACTCTGTTGATACTTTCAGACTGGACCAGCCATCTTAATGAATCTTTTCAACCTGCTCCAGCAGTCTAGAACTTTGGTTGGTACAATGCTTAAGAAAATTTCCCTGCCTAATTTTTGTATATATATACTTAATTGGGTTGCTAGAAGTGGGGGCGGGGAGCTTTGCATCCTTGAAAAAGTAACAATTACATTCCTATATTTCAGTGTAATTTGCAAAGTGATTTAATGTACATTTGACTCCAACTCTACCCCAGGTTTTGCCACAGACAGAAGCAGTGGGGAGTTTCATGCACCAAGGATCACTCACTCACAAAGCAGAGGACACTGAGTACTATCACCAAACAGGAACTAGACACATCCCCCACCCAAGGGCAATGGCAAGAAATTGCAGCTGCCAGAATATTTGCTGAAGCCCTTGGGCTCCTCCTGGATCAAGGATATTTACACAGCAAACATAATGCCAAAAGTTGCATCCTTTATTACAAACCCCCATGGTGGGGAGGAAACCATTCTCCCCAAAGCTAGTCTCTTTTCTCAGACTTTAATTTGAAAAACTCTTGGTTTGTCTGATTTTTTGGGGGGTGGAGGGATTAGGGGAGGGTGGTTTGCAAGTCTTCATCCTTTCTAATCAGGTTTTAATACAATTTTTATAAAATTAAGGTATTTAAACAAGGGAATTAAAAAAAATCAACTGTCTCAGAGATTCCACAGGCATTATAATAAGAAAATGATATTGATGTTGCACTATCTTCCCACTATGCATCTCCCAGCTCTCTTTCTGCAACCCTCCCCTTGCAGTGGTTAGAGAGTAAAGAACTGGACCAGAAAATTATTAGATGGAGTTTTCTTCTGAGAAGCAATAAAATGAAACCAAAGGCAAACATTCATTTCTTTTTCCAATTACATTGTCATGTGGATATTCCTGACCAAATGGTTAGACTAGAATTGGAAATCTAAGTAATCTTCTTGAAGAATTTACAAAAGCACACTTATTTTGCAATTTGGAATCACATGGGATATTTCATTTCTTTCTTGCTATCAAATAGTGTGGTCTGCCCAGTGGCTACATCATCTTGGGGTGCAGATCGGGAAGGTAATTAGGTGATCTTATGAAACATTATTTAAGGTATTTAAGGTGCAGTGGTTTTAATAGCAAAGTATAAAATAAGATCAATACAAGACTAGGAAGATAGAAGAAGCAGCAGCTCTGGGCGATGGAAGCAAGAAGGTAGACTGTTTTCCAGAAGAGTCGTAGCTGAACCTTGCAGTATAGGCTCCTCCTGTAGAAGGGCTTCATGTGACTTTTGCTCTACAGCAGCAAGGGCAACACCCACATTACAGAATCATAAATATGCGCACACATGTTGGCTTCCCTCTGCCATTGTGCCTAATAGAGGACCTAAGCACAGACATGTCCTCAGACTGTCCAGGAACACCTCATTGCAGAAGAATGTGAACAAAATGTGTCTGGGTATCATTATGCTCATAAAAATGGAGTTCTAATGAAACAAATCAGTAGTGAATTATTCTTTATGTCAAAGCACACATCTGATCATTCTAAAATATCTCATTTGAATAAAATGAAACTGCTACATTTTTCCTGGGGCATCTGAAGGCTGATTTTTTAGAAGCAAGAGATCCCTGCCAACCAGGCTACTGCAGTTAGTGTCATGGTCCCTGTCAAAATCTTGTCTCTTGGTCGCCAAATAAGAGCACCTGCCTTCAGCTCTACCCTGACACCAGGTGACCTCAGGACAGTTCCAGAGGGGAGCCAACCTGACTACAAACGTCTGGCCTGCTCTGCATCTCTGTTCACCTTATCCAGCTTGAAGGATTAAGTTTTGTCTCAAGTCATCTCCCAGCTCAGGCTAAATATACTGCATTCCACTATATTTGGTGTAGAGGCAATGTAGATATTTCTAGAATCATTTTCACAGTTGATATTATGAGCTAAATTCAGTTAATAATTATTAAGTGCTAAATGTATTCAGTATCATGGGCCAAGATGAATAAGATCTCTTACACCTTAGATTATCTCTGGTGGAGGTGAGGGTTGGAGGAGGCAGGTTGTCCATATGTATTAGGATGGTGTTTGGGGACACAGTGAACTTTTTCTGTAATTTTTTGAAATTGACAGAGCTCCAATCTGACTAGGAAAACAAACAAACAAACATAGAACTTAGTAACCCAACACCTTAATTTCAGGTATTTGCCAATTACTTTGCCACAGCTCATGTTGCTGCCTCCCTCAGGGCCTGCTGAGAAGCATCATTTTGTCAGAATGGCCACTCCCCCAGCCACTAATACAATGCTCCCTCCCTCTCCCTACTGACAAAAGAATGGAATTTGAAGAAAAGTGACATCTTGGAAGAGTACACTTTAAAAAAAATGTGTTCCTGCCAGAGAGTAACCTTAAGAGAATTACTAATAAAATCTGGGTCATCTGCAGGAAGTGAACCATGATCCTTAAT